CATACTTAAATTTGTTGAAGTCTTGGCCATAAAAAAACTTAAACTTGTCTGTCTTATGTGTCTAAAAAGTATTTATTACTACTTTGAACCTGACTTGATAATCCAATTTAGAATCAAGTTTCAATTTACCTAATCATATTTTCACACTCTTCGTTTTCTTTTTTCTCATCCTATATCGTGAACAAGCTGGATTCAGGAAAGGCAAATCATGTTCTGACCAAATTGCAACTCTAAGCATCATCATCGAGCAAAGCATGGAATGCCAATCAAACCTCTACCTCAACTTTATAGACATTGAGAAGGCCTTCGACAGCGTTGACCGCGAAGTAATTTGGAAACTACTCGTGTACTACGGCATACCCCAAATATTCATCAACCTCATTCAACAGCTGTACGACAACGGCACATGTCAAGTGATCCATAACGGAAAACTCAGCGAAGCGTTTGGAGTAAACACAGGAGGCAGACAAGGGTGCCTATTATCACAAATGATATTCCTAATCGTGGTGGGTTGGATTAGCGTCAGACAGTGGGAAACGAGAAGATAGGGATATCCTGGACCGACGTGAAGAACCGAGAAGACCTGGATTTCGCGCGTGAATGATTTATGTTTGATGTCACACAAAATCGAAGACTTACAAGCGAAAACCGACAAACTGGTCGAAGAAGCAGGCAGTGAAGACAGGACTGACTCCATGTGAACATAGACAAGACGGAGGTTATGAAAATAACCAACCAACCAACCAACAACAACAACAACAGCAACATCCAGTGCTAATCATCATCAACGGGAGGGATTTGAAAGAGGTGTTACTTCATTCACTTACTTATCTAGGGAGCATTGTCTCAACTACAGGTGGAACGGACGAGGATGTCAAATCGAGAATCGGGAAGGCGAGAAACACATTCATCAACCTCAAACCAATCTGGAAATCCTCGTCACTCAACTCACCATCAACAACAAAATTCGGATTTTCAATACGAACGACGTCAAGTCAGTCAGTTCTTCTATACGGATGGATCAGAAACTTGGCCAGTGTGTCACGAAGAATATTTCCAACAGCCTGTTGCACACCTTTATCAACAACTAACTGTCTTCGCTCTATACTCAAGATCAGATGGCCGGAAAGAATCACCAACAACAAGAAACTATGGGAAGAAACAAAACAAGAACCAATTGGCCAACAAATATGCAGGAGAAAGTGGAGATGGATTGGACACTCGCTGAGCTGAGGAGGTCGCTGGGTGACATCGCGCGTCAGACCATAGGTCGAGTGGAACCCGAAAGGGTAGCGGCGAGTAGTGAGACGTCCAAGGGTGACATGGAGGAGATCGTGTGAAGAGGAGGAGTTGAAACAGTATGGACTAACATGGATGCAGGTGAAAAGTACAGCGGAAGATAGAAGCAAGTGGAGACGTGTAGTTGAAGCCCTATGTTCCACTAGGAACCCAAGGGAACAATAATAATAATATCCTTACGTCATCTGCTTACCTCTTATTTGTGACCTTAACCTGCATACAATTTGACTTGTATTCAATTTAATACTCACTACTGACTGGCCCTATTCAGTTACCCAGGTTCTAATGGGTAGTGATAACCATTGGGGTAAAGCAGGTCGGGTGGAGGGACAAATACATGCATATTTCAAACTGGAGTATGAGCTGAAAAAGTTGCCTAGTAGGGCAATGAAAGATTTGCAAATAAACCATTGAGCTCAGAGAACACAACTACATGAAAAACAAATACTTTCTGATGAGATTCGCTAGAGGTCGTGCCATATTATGGATTGACAGAAGTTGGAATTCATGGACTGGCCGCTGGAACGGGTTCCAGCGTCTTAACGGTCTATGAGCTCGCCTGGTAACCAGAAGGTCCTTGGTTCAAGCCTTGGCAGTGGGCGCACACTGATGAAGATTCCTAAGCACTAGGACGAAACACCTGGCTGTCCAGTACTCACAGATTTTGGGATTATGGAGAAGATTTGTAGCTCAGTTATGTTCTCTGAGCTGGTTTATACAATTACATCATTCATTGGGAAATTTAAATAAGTCCATTTTATACTAAAACCTGTGCTGAAGATGTTGTCTAGAAGGGGGACGAAGAAAGCGTGGCAATTAAATCAGCCAGCTCCTCAGAGAACACAACTAATTCAATACTCCCAGGTGGTTTTCCAGTGATCCCCTAACCGATGACAATTCATGAAGAAATACTGAAACCAATCAAATCCCTAAAAATCAACACTTGAATTTCTTCCTATTGTTCAAACTCGAACTTTCTAGGTGTAGACTATGTAAGTGCAAGTTTCTGATTACTGTTCATTTAAGTTTGGAGTCTCCTGTCGCTAAAAGACATTACGTAACATTTGCAAGTATGGTAAGATTGTTCTGTACATAAATAAGCAATGTGCCACTTAACCAGCTTGTTGTTAATATTCTGGTCGACAGGCACTTGGACTCATGTGAAAAGTGGGCTTAATCCATTCTGTCTAACTCACACCACCCTCTTCATTCACAACTCTCCGCTTGTATCTCATCAGGCAGGATCAGAAGCCTATATAGAAAACTGTATGCTCGTACTAGCAAGTACGAAAACTCAACCATACTCTATTTGGCTCGTGTTCTGTGCGATAAAGAAAGCATTAGGCGTGAAACTTATAACTTATTAAATAGTCAGTAGAACAATTGGATCTCGTCTTTCCAACTCATATCATTTATAGGTACAACGTTTTCTTTCTTTTCCTTTTCTCTCTCTCTTTTTTTCGTCATGTGCTGCTTTGTTTCTTTCTTCCGCTTAAGCCAGTGAATATGATAGCACCCACCCATCAAAAATTCTGTTCACTTTTGGCTTTGTTACCGATATGGTAATATGTTGTTGTCAAAACTAACTGAGATTACCTTAATCTATGCAGAATTTTATTTATTGATAATGTACTAACTGGATGCAATACTGTAGTGAAATGCTGAGAATTCCATTCTGTATCACAAGTACTGTTTTGGAATAAAGCAAATTATTATTATTTTCTCAAGTTCTACGCAGAAGAGCTGATGAGTAACTAACGCAATAAATGATGGTGGTACCACATTAGTATATGTGTAAAACATGAGCATTGTGGTGGTAAGTAATTCCATATTAAGTTGTTTATTAGATGTATCACACACAGTGAAAGAGTATTATTTACTGGATGACACAGTTTCGAACACAATTTATTATTCTTCATAATCATATCAACTGCAATCACACAACTTCGAAACTTTCGTTTGATAGTTTTCTTTATTGCTTCTTGTTTTTCGTAGGGGTGGTAGGATTTTCCAGATGTCTGGCTGGACAGGTGTTGAATCATTCCTATCAGTAGTACTTCTATACAAAGAATGAACCTCAGAAACCTTACGGAGAATTCTCAGCAATGCAGGAATAAAACTGGCTGCCAGTGAAACTGCCCACAAAGTGACTCAGAAAGAAGTCTTGTCGGCTAAAGGACCATGCGGAGGCCATTAAACAAAACAATTTAGTTTATCTTATACCCTGTTGCAATGATTGTCTGGTCAAATTAGTAGAACGTGGTCAGTCAAACTAGTGGAGCAAAATCTGGATTAGTTAACACAAATAAGACAGGAAATCTGGAGAATAGTTCAGCTATCGCAAGCATTACATGGAATTACACACAACCATAGAATAGGATGGATGAGATAAGATGACAGTTCTAAAATCTAATATAACAAGGTTAGGGGAAGGGAGATTGATAACACAAGCTTTATTTATCGAATCAACTGCAGACACGTGTAATAGGAATGATTCAACACCTGTCCAGCCGGACAACTGGAAAATTCCACTACCCCCATAACGAAGAATGGGAAGGAACGCAAGAAAACTATAAAACTCAAGTTTCGAAGTTGTGTGATTATAAAGAATAATAAATTGTCTTCGAAACTTTGTCATCCAGTTAATAATACTGTTTCACTGTGTGATATATCTAATAAAGGAACTGATATGCAATAATGGTACCATCCTATCCCTGGGGAAAACATGGAATTATTGGACGGCCTGTCGAATTACTCTCGAAATTTACATAAATTCGGCGTAATTCTTGAGTTTGTCATCCTAGTACTAGTGAATACGATGAGACTTTGTCTGCACCAAATTGTTATCATTATTATTATTATTATTACTTGTTATGAATAAAACGAATTTTTGTAAAAGATTAATTAATTATAATAAATAAACAAATAAATAAATTATTAAGTAAATAAATAATCCAAATTTAAATTCAAATGATCACAATTTAATTTGTACCACAATTTGTGTTGATTTTTGTGTGCATTGACTCATTCAAACACAAGTTATCCCAGCGAATAACGTAACACATACGCGTTTATATGTATATATATTGTTTGTTTAAATTGTTCAATGCGTAGGCGTTGTCATAACACATAAAAAAGGCGGATAATTTAAATTCATTGTGGATAAGAAGTAGTAAAAGTAATTAAGGGTGATGAATAGTTAAGATTTTTATAAAGATAAATACTGATCTAAGTTCGGTTGACTGAATACATTTCGATACATGCATGCGTGCGTAGGTACTCACACACACACACAAACAAACTCAAAGAGATAATGAAAATGTGCGTCTGTCAACAGCCTAAACTAAAATTTATCACGGTTATTTTTATAAATATATATTTTTTTATTTGGGTTATCAAAAGGACAAATACAAAAGTAATAATAAATGTCTGATACATATATATATGTGTCGATAAATATTTATATTGTTGAGCATGGAAGCGAGTTAATTTTTATTAGTATTGATTTGACAAGGCAAGAACACGGCGTAAGGAAAGACAGTGCAATTTGATGAAATGATCAGGTCTGATACAAACAAAAAAAAAACAATTGGAAAAGGAATCATTTTTACACAAATATCTATCTATCTATTTTGAGAGTGGTTGGCCTGTTGTTCAGCTTGGTTGTTGGAATGTTGTGTTTGTGCGCTTCAGTTTTTTATACGTTGATAAATTGTTGGATAATTGTCTTCAAAATAATATCTTGATTCGTTCATTATTCTTTATTTTCATGGATTGATTGTGTATATAAGTAGTATATTATGTACAAAAAGGAGGTGTTGTGTGTGTTATTTGTGTAGTTGATTGTTACCGTTATCATTATTTATCCACTTCACTATCCTCCTCTTGTACATCGGCCGTCTTCTCTTTTAAAGCATCATTGTGTTGTTTAACAGATTTCAATGAATTGAACATTCCAGTCGATTTAGAATGCGATGATAACCGATTGGTTAAATTGTCGGCAGCAGCGGCTGCTGCTTGTCTACGCTGACGTTGATCAATCGCTGATAAGACAGTCTCTGATCGATAGCGGGAATTTTTTAGGTTGGGATTTGATTGATACATTGTAGTATCATTTTTCAGTAGGTTACTTTCAGATTGACCTATTCTCATTCTACAAGAGGAAAAAGAAATAGATGTTGTATGATATTAGGTCAAGCTTCATCATGCATTTGATATGAGTTAGAGAAGCAGTGAAAACCACCACTGAGGATTGGATAGGTGTTCTGTCCAAGTTTGCGACACTTTATCAGCACTCACATACCCGGGTTTGAACCCCAGGAACTTCTGGTTACAAGGCCAGTGAGCTCGTCGACTATTCAGTTATATGGGACGCGAATCAGTTGCCAGTCCATGAATTCTAACTCTCCTATCAATTGGTGATTTTATTGAGACCACCAGACAGTGTCACTGGAGAGTATTTGTCCTCACTCCCGACAGAGTGGATCTTACTGGTTACGATTTTACTCAGTAGAACAGCAGGCAACTTTGTCCCGTGGTTAGTCTACAAGCTTGCCTTGTAACCAGAAGGTCGTGGGTTCAAACTCTGGTGGTGGGTAAGTACTGATGAAGAGTCCCAAACTAGGCTGACGAAACAGCTGTCCAGTACTCTCTAACTGATATCAGCTCATGATTGAAGTTGAAACAGATCAAATTCCCGCAGATTAACTCTTGAATATCACTACTGATGGATGTGTATAGTTTCCAAATACTCACATAAATAAGTAGTATATGCAGTCATGCAGTGATGGTGAGATCATTTAGACTAAGCATTAATCACCAACCAATACATTAATATTACGTTGGTTAAGATTTGCTTTGTGCTTTTATTAAACCTTATCAGTAAATTGTCATTTTATCCATTGTTATTAGTCACCATCCACCAATTAACTTCGAATTACATGCCAAGACATCTTTTCCGAAGCATGTGAACAAGAAGCTGACATGTCAAACTGATACCGAGCACTTCGGTCCAATCAATCGACGGGAATATCTAAAACTTAATTAAAGCTGTATAATCGTTTTAAGAATGCTGTGAGGAAATTTAGACAAACGTGTAAATATGTAAAATGATATTAGTATGAAATGCACAAACTTGTTTGTGGTTATGATCATGTTTAAATACTAGATGTTTCGTCCTAGTTTCGAACTCTTCAGTGGCACGTGCACACTGGGATTCGAACGCAGGACCTCATGGCTACAAGGTGAGCCTGTAGACTACCTAACCACTGGAACAGATCCCAGTGGCTGAACAGCTTACGGGCTTGCCTTGTATTCGTAAGGTTCTGAGTTCAAATCTCAGTGGACACGTACTTTCGAAGGATCCTGAACTGAGACGAAACAGATGTTCAGTACTCCCTGATGGTTTCTAATGGTTCTCTAACTGATGTCAATTCGTGACAAAACCTGTGACTAATCAAACCTTTACAACCCAACACTTGATAAAATATCAAGTTTGAAGTATTGGTTTTGTAGGGATTTTGTTTGATTGGTTGGAGGATTTCATCATGAGCTGACATCAGTTAGAGAACCATTCGAAAACCTGAGATTATTGGACGGCTGTTTCGTCCTAGTTCTTGGGACTCTTCAGCGGTACGCACCCCCATCGGGGCTCGAACCTAGGATCTTCTGGTTACATCGAAGATGCCATTGCGAAGAGGTCGCTCTATCTCATGAATTGGTAGAAGTTGGAATTCATACACTGGTTATTGGATCGGGTCCCAGTGGCTTAATAGTCCACTTTCATAAAGGATGAAAGTGATATGACCAGGAACACAATAATATCTCAATTCAGTGAAGTTCATTCAGTTATCAGATTCTTCTATGACGAGGAATTCCACAAAGTAAAACTGTCTTTTTTAGATGTTCTACAGACAAGGAGACCGGACGGTAGTATAAAAAGGAATTTACGCAAGAAAAGTATGTGGACCGGTCAATAAACACATTTTCAAAGCTTTCTTCCTGTCCGATATAAAAGAAATTTGGTAAAGACCCTCAGCAATAGGGTTCCACCTATTTGTTCATAAGGTGAGATTGAAGACAAACTTAAGGTTGTATACGATACGTTGACTGAAAACAATTACCGCGGAGAGTTCATCACTCAACACATAGCCAAGGAAGTAGAAAAGAGTCTTTCTGTATCTGTTAAAAAGAAACCTCCATATATATACGACTACAATTCAAAGATGATATACCAACTGAAATAACAACCAATAAATTGAGAAAATCGATTCAAAGAAAGTCAAATGGCTGCAAGCTGCAGTTGATATTTTCCCCACGACTGACAGTGATACCGAAAGTGAAAGACGAACTACCTTACCCAGGTAGCCACTGCTAGTCATACGTATCAATTTAACTTCTCCTGTGGTGCCAGTTATATTCGCCGTTGCTCTAGAAACACTTGATTTTTCATGCTCAGGACCAACTGCTAGTGTGACTCAAGAAAGTTGTTATTAAAACTATCAACAATTCTATATTAGTTGGAGGATTTCATCATGAGCTGACATCATTTACAGAAACATTTTAGAAACCTGCAAAGAATGCTGGACAGCTGTTTCGGCAGCCTAGTTTGAGACTCTTCATCAGTACGCATCCATCGCTACAGTTCGAACCCATGACCTTCTGGTTACAAGGCGAGCTCGCAGACCATTCATCAGCCACTGGGACCCGATCCAATAACCAGTGCATGAATTCCAACTTCTGCCAGTTCATGACATAGACCGACCACTTCGCAATGGCATCTTCGATGTAACCAGAAGGTCCTAGGTTCGAGCCCCGATGGGGGTACGTACTGATGCAGAGTCCCAAGAACTAGGACGAAACAGCCGTCCAATAATCTCAGGTTTTCGAATGGTTCTCTAACTGATGTCAGCTCATGATGAAATCCTCCAACCAATCAAACAAAATCCCTACAAAACCAATACTTCAAACTTGATATTTTATCAAGTGTTGGGTTGTAAAGGTTTGATTAGTCACAGGTTTTGTCACGAATTGACATCAGTTAGAGAACCATTAGAAACCATCAGGGAGTACTGAACATCTGTTTCGTCTCAGTTCAGGATCCTTCGAAAGTACGTGTCCACTGAGATTTGAACTCAGAACCTTACGAATACAAGGCAAGCCCGTAAGCTGTTCAGCCACTGGGATCTGTTCCAGTGGTTAGGTAGTCTACAGGCTCACCTTGTAGCCATGAGGTCCTGCGTTCGAATCCCAGTGTGCACGTGCCACTGAAGAGTTCGAAACTAGGACGAAACATCTAGTATTTTGATATGACTATAACCACAAACAATTTTGTGCATTTCATGCTAATATCACTTTATATATTTATACGTTTGTCTAAATTTCCTCACAGCATTCTTAAAACGATTGTACAGCTTTAATTAAGTTTTAGATATTCCCGTCGATTGATTGGACCGAAGTGCTCGGTCTCAGATTTACATGTCGGCTTCTTGTGCACATGCTTCGGAAAAGATGTCTGGGCATGTAATTTGAAGTTAATTGGTGGATGGTGACTAATAACAGTGGAATTCAGTCAGGATGCGCATTTCATCCTATTTGGGACTCTTGGTCAGCTGGATGTGCCTGCATTCCACAATGAGTGGTCTAGCGAATAACACTTTGGCGTTTGAAACTATGGGCACTGGATTCGAGCCTCGGTGGGAACATCATCACTCACTCACTGGGGAATGCAGGCACATCCAGCTGACCAAGAGTCCCAAA